TATCTATAGTTTCCTTTAATTGCTTCATTACAATTGTTCATGTCAAAGGTCGAGCTTTAAATGAGCAATTATTTTGTTTTTATCATGTGGCGTTATCTGATCATTTATTTCATATCAGTACATCTGGGAGATCCTCATGTTGGATTTTAAACATGTCAGATTTTGAGCCAAAATGGGACTGCTACCATTATTCATAAAATCACAACATGTTCAACTGTTTTGCATCATTTACATAAAAAAGAAATATAATACCATTCAGGCCCATAGCCAGGATTTGCCAAGGGGGGTTCAGTTTTCAAAAATTTCCATGGGGGGTTCACATTTGACAATTTTGGCCCAAATATGGCTAAAATAAATTGAGAAGTGTTCACAATTGGTGAAAAACTGCATGATTTTGAAAGAATTTTTGGCCAGGGGGGGTTCACCCGAACCCTGCGAACCCCCTCTGACCCTTAGACTTTGTAAGGGAGGTCCTCCAGGCAATAGTTGTGGAAGAATAAAGTTAACCTTATGAGAGGGGAGAGGCATTCTCCGAATGCAGGGCTCCAGACCTCATTGGAGGAAGAACAAGGATTCCTGGGTTCAGAGGATGTGGATGAGGGTGCATGGAAATTTCATTGCATGAGAATGTTGATTCATAGATAAAATTGTGAATGGCAAATCAACAATCAACATGACCCTTGGGAAACTCAATCAAGCATTTGCAGAGATGATGATGGAATTCACTGAATGAAACTCCTCTGAAAATGACAAAATGAAGAAACTAATACTGTATTATAATACCAAAATTCTAATTTTGGATGACCTCGCCATTCCATGACTGAAAACTGACCTATATACTTTCTCTCAAATCGTCTTTGTACTTAACTTCCATACTTGACTTGACATGCAAAATTGACCTATAATGTGACCTTGACCTCCTATTCCCTGAATAATCAAAGTTCTGGGACCTTCTTGAACTATGAGCACAGAAATGATATTGTAAACTTTCTTTGGCATTTCCCAAAAGGTTTCACTCCACCCTACTCTGTTTCTCTACTTTGTTGCCTCTTTAAATGATAGTGATGACATTTATCCTCTTATTGCTACAAAATATAATAAACAAATATGCAAATGGGTGAACATATTCATTATCAGATGTTTATAGAATCTCTTAATGCACCATGCTTTTACAGACAAGACACTAAAGTATATCAGAGAATCTAAATGCTCACAGCACAATTATTTAGAAATGTCAAAAAGCTACATAAATTCTATAGGAAAGTGTCTTTAAAATTGTAAAAGAGCCATAAATAACATTTTATGAGAGACACAATGAAAAGATAATCTATTAATTGGGTACTATCATCACTTCAGCATACAATGCGCCCTTCATCAGGTCAATCTTTATTATGATAAACTCTAGAACCACACAAGCTGCAAATGGAAAAATAAGTATTTAGCTACCATAAACCTCATTAATCTAATGGGGAAAAAGTTGAGTTGGATTTACTGTATACATTCTTATATTTTATTCTACCTTTTCAAAGATAAGGTGACATGTCTGAAAAATGTTGTTGAAATCATATTTTTAGAAAAAAATTTCACTCCGGATCATTGTGGTTGATTATCCACTTTCATTATCTCTCATTTACATCAGGGTTCTGGTCAAGTCAAAATAAACCTGGATGAAGATGAAATTGAAACATAGCGAAAGAAAACAAATCTGCAATTTCGATATTCTTGCAAAAAAACACCTAGTGAATACCTGCTTTCTGTTTGTAATCAGACTGTCATAGTTTCAGAAATTCAACAACTTTTAATGGTACAATTATTACAGTTTATTGGGCTTCATCTATGACTAACTCCCTATAAGTATTAATATATATAATATCAGCCCGTAGGTTGGTACCTGTGATTGCAGAATAAACCTTTGTAATCTGCTCAATACATCCAATAAATGCATATTTATCAACATCAAAGCACTTTCCTGAACATTTATGAAAAGCGGCTTGATTTATATGAGTGATTAGAGAAAATAAATGATGATTTATGTTTATTTTTATTTCCTTTTCTGCTCATAAATGGAAGAGATGGTATCAATGTTATTATCAAAGATGATTGATAAAGTCAGCTTTAGTGAGCCTGATCAGCGACCATATATGGTACAATGTACATTGATAACAGAGGAGGAAATTCCCAGCAAGCGTCTATGAATTTCAGGGCTCCCAGCCATCTTCATTGAGTTTTGAGCACTCATAATATAACAGAGGAGGAAACTCCCAGTCAGCTTTATTGAGCCTTCAAAGTTTATAATATAGCAAGAGAGGATATTCTCAGCAAAGGCATTGGGTTTTGAGGGCCTAAAATCTATATCAATGGAGGAAATTCCCAGTCAGTCTCAGGGGCCTAATATAATGCAGTACGATTTTCTAACATACAAAGAAAATTAATACAACCACACCATCTTTATAATATCCCTCCTCTGATTGTAAATATCATTGTTAGCATAAATTGTATCTTTTTCAAATGTTCTTCAATAAAAGCAACTTTATTGTATAGCTTCTATCAATAAATTCTGAAGATAAGGTGGCATAAATTGTCATAAAAACAAAAGGTCAACAACTTGAAAGAATATTAACAGGCTGTGAAACTTCAGCTTATGAGACCTGAAACATTTTAATTAATTTGAGTATCTTGTTTTTCATCCTTCTTGGAACTACACTAGCTTTGGCAAAAATAAGGTTATTCATGTTCATTGGAACTGCACTGGCTTGGGCAAAAAAGAGGTTATTCATCTTCATTGGAACCGCACTGGCTTGGGCATAAATGAGGTTATTCATCCTCATTGGAACAAGAATTGCAAAACTTCTATCATGCATGAAAACAAGATGGCCAACCAAAAGAATTTTGTACCCTCTAACTCGTGAATGGTTTTGAAGAAAATCAAATTTAAAGAATCCTAAGATATTGATATTCAAGATTTCATAAATATTTGCCAGAAAACAAAATGGTCACGCAAAA